GAAACCAATTTCTTTGCTGAAACTCAAACTGAAACATCTCACGCAAAGTATTTTTTCAAGTTCCAGTTCAGAAAGAGTAAAACGGGGTCTTGTCAATCATAGAATCATATAATATATAAGTGTGGGCAGAGATGCAGTACCTAAGAAATAAAAGCGAAGTTTTAGCTTTTGAGTCGAAAAACAGTAATTCAAAATTAAAATTAGTTTATACTATTTAAACAAGTTCTTTAAAGACTTTAGGCAGCGATAATTTGCTTAAATCATATACATAATATACTTACAGACATGGCCGCCTATATACCCAACACAGCCAACGAAGCCTCCAACACAGCCTGGAACTGACGGTTCTTGCGGGATCAAAAATGGACCACAAGTAGGTTTTAGATATGATATTTATTATAATTACCTGTTGTAATGACAATTATTAGGATCAATTTCACAACAAATTGTTTATTTATGACGTCAAAGAATTTTCGAAGAAATTTTACTAGATTTTCCCCGATACCTTCAATATCGCCTAAATATGGTACAGAGCCATAAAATAAAAATAAAACATATCTTTTCTCGTTATACAATCAGTAAAGATATGATAAACATGTCACATAAGTTGTTTTGGTATTTTCATGTATTCTATTTAATATTTGCCGCGGCACTACCTTTCCCCTCCTATATTAAATTTACAAAACAATATTTATTTTAGTTTATAAAAAATTATACTTGCTTTACAATGTACCAATAAAAACGGAAGTGTGTCTGCATCGTGATTCAGAACACGTTAAGGTTTAAAACCTTCAAAATATAACCACGGGATTCTTAGATGAAATATATATAATTTTGTATAGAAGACCATTGAAAATTATTATCAATGTCTTTCTAGACATATGAGAGTCCCCAAGACGAAGAAAGGATAGTGGGAGGACATAACGCCGATCTGAATGAGTGGCCATTCGTAGCAGCGCTCTTCAATGGCGGCAGACAGTTCTGTGGAGGGTCACTTATAGACGACAGACACGTTCTGTCAGCGGCCCATTGTGTGGCACAGTAAGTATTTAATGGATTAATTGATAAAATTAGTTAAACAAAAAAATGTGCAATTAAATATTCTAAAAATGGGAATGTGTGAAGTTTCACTTTCAAAAAATTTTGGTTACATCCGGGATTAGGTCCAGTGAGGTCACCCCATACACAAATGAAGCACGGTGCGGAAATCTAGAATCGTACCTTGCCCAGGTTTCGTATTTATTTTAATTAGAATGAAAGTTCACACTTGTACCTTTGTGTAAGAAAAACTGATGCAGCGTATTTAATGATAATGTAATGTAATGTAAGTGCCAACATAATTGCCAAACAATAATCATATTATTTTTATTTGGTTTAAACCGAAAAATCCTTAGGAAGATTTTGCTCACTAGGGTAAGGTGTTGGAACAAATATCTCTAATCTATTGACACAGAATATAGTACTTATTTGATTGAGGGTTTAAAACGTAACGAAATAATTACTATTACCCAGGACCGATAAAAGTTAATTTAATGTCTCGCAATTATTTATTAATAAAAATTATCTTAATGTATCATAAATTTAAAAGACAATGAAACAATGCTACACGGATTTCGATTTAATTTGGTAAGAAAACTGCGCGGACAGTTGGAAATATCCAACATAGGTCTACTTTTATGTTTGTTAATCATTAATATTACAAATAAACATAGTGGCAAACACAGATTCAGATATCCACTACTACTACTTTTAACTATACAGCTACCCTAACAGCTAATAGCCAATGCGACAGTTCTGTTACGTAATTTAATGACATCGTTTAATAAATTTAATAACATAATTTTTGCAAATTCGCTCTGAGAACGCCTGGTGCCACAAATTTGTTCTGCCCCTAGGGACTGCAGATAACCTTTGTTTCCACCGTCTCAAATAGCCGTTTGGTACAAGCAAACTGAGTTCTTGCAGAACACTAGGATTACTAATAACTCCCCGAAACTTTAACAACATAGCAAAACTCCCGTCGGGTTTCTAGCTTGTTGTATCTAACCATCCCTAATACAAACAACGTTGGGTACATTAAAGGATTGATATGATAAGTACCATACAGCCGTTAGTATAAAAGCCGTGTAAATTTATTCTGAATGCGCTCCAACATGATACAGTAGGGACTTCGTTTCATGCGGAGCCCAGACTGACGAAACTAGAGCATGCTTCTGATCAACGCATTAGCATTCAAAGTTATTTTGATGTTCGTGAACGTTGAAGGTCTTCCAAGGACAAATCCTAATCTCCTATATTCATTTTTACATATGTCTCATATGTGCTCTCGTAATGTCAGTTGTCCATCCATTTGTACTCCGAGAACTCTTATGAATTTTTCCTTTCTTGGCGTTACCCCTGATACTTTATAGACAACTTGATGATAATAGTAGATATGTAACTAGTAAAGAAATATTTGTTTTAAGTATGACGTCATGGGATGTAGCACGACTGACAGCAAGACTCGGAGATTACAATATCAGGACGAACACGGAGACTCAGCACATCGAAAGAAAGATTAAAAGAGTGGTCAGACATCGTGGATTTGATATGCGAACTCTGGTAAATATTAATTTCAGTTACATTGCATATAAAAATTGTCTACATGTTATTTTAGCAGCCTATTCGAGATTCAATTCTCAAGGCGGATCTAAATTTTGTCGTATTTATTTTTACAGAACTATTGTTATAATTTATTTAGGTTCAAAAGACGTAGCGATGATGAGGCCCAATAAGGACAAATTTGTTAATTTTGTGCTTCTCAAGTGTATCTTCCATTCTGTTAATGAGTTATTTTCATCATACAACCACGGAATATTTATATAAGAAATATATAAGAAATCGACTCCCATTATGAAATTAATACGTTCTTCCAGTACAACGACGTCTCCATTTTAACTCTAGACCAGCCGGTAACGTTTACAAAGAACGTAAGGCCAGTCTGTCTCCCGTCCAGCGCACGTGCATACGCTGGTCTATCCGCTACGGTTATTGGATGGGGGAGCTTGAAAGAAAGTAAGTTGTTTTTTTTTTAATCTATTTATTTAGGGCAACTTTTAGACACGAAAATAAAAATATAAAATTTTAAATTAAATATCGAAGTAATATATGAAGAAGCCACCCCTTTACCTAAATCTATTGCATTAAATAGTAAGTAAGTTTGTTATCTACTTTATCAAGATAAACAACTTCCAATATGTAACAATCAAACGATTAATAAAAAAAGAACATTTCATAGATGAAAGAACGTGTAACATTTCAAACACAAAATTGTTCTATCTGGTGCCAAAATCATTTGATTTGAACTCAGACCGATTCTAGCGCGAACGAATTGGTATTTTAAATTGGAAGAATCTAATAAAATACTTTATTAGGATTTTATATTTTATTATTATCAAACACAATAAAGCTTATGCTTAGATTTGTTTTTAATTCCTAATTATTATCTACCAAGGTTATCTATGACTAGTTAGGAACAACAGTGGTGTGATGTGTAATATTATTTTACTGTCCTTTTTTGTATCCATTATAATTTGTTTGCTAATAAATGTGGTTTGTTTCAAATTAGTTCTTTTTTTTGGAAAATACACTTGTATAATTCAATAGGTGGACCCCAGCCCGCGGTGCTGCAAGAAGTGTCAATACCGATCTGGTCAAACGCAGAATGTCGTCTCAAGTATGGCTCTGCGGCACCCGGTGGTATCGTAGACCATATGCTTTGTGCCGGGAAAGACAATATGGATTCTTGTAGCGTAAGTCACATTTTTATATCCGCACCAGAATTTGTCACACACAAGTTTTAATCATCTGTAAATATCCACTAAACAAAAGCTACTTTGTAACAAAGTGTATTAAAATTTTCTGATACAATGATACCCTGACCGGGCCCCCGTGTGTCCGCTGTTGGCCAGCACCCTTATCTGCTATAGCTGCTTATCTGCCCCTCAGTTTAATTTGAATAACAATTTGTTTTGTAGCAAATCGCTAAGAAAAGGGGTCTGCCCATTTTGGTTAGGGATTCGTGTATCTATTACTGTTCATATAAAAATAATTATTACCTACTTGAATGCTTTTTAGGTTAAAAATAATACCCCGAGATAGTATTTCTTCTTTTAATTCAGTCCCTGACGGAACTAGTTGATTTAGGGGTTTTAAAAATTTATTTTCAGGGTGACAGTGGCGGTCCCCTAATGGTAAATGAGGGTGGAAGGTGGACCCAAGTAGGCGTAGTCTCGTGGGGCATCGGATGCGGGAAGGGACAGTACCCTGGAGTATACACCCGAGTTACAGCTTTCCTCCCATGGATACAAAAGAACTCAAAATAAGATGAAAACGAATTAACGTGTATAAAAGCCTATTTGACAATTTAAGATATTTGTTTTATATATAATGTAAGTTTTATACTAAAATCTTCGATTTTTAAGCAATAAGATGGTAAAAATGTGTTAATTTTAAATGATAAAGTTCTTTTCCAGTTTTACAAATATCTATGCATTGAATATGACAATCCATTTAACGTAAATAATTGTTTAAATGCATTGTCGATTAAGAAAAAAAATACTTTAAAAACTTAAATTAAACATAAACATTAAAGGAAAATTTATGTAGTTTGTAGTGCTAATACTTTTTTATTGCTCGAACCATAAAAATCATTGATTTAAAAAATAATACTTGTTTTTCTGACACTATGTTACATTTAACTATCAATTCCTTTAAGAAAGGTGAATATATTTGTCTTTCTTAATCAATTGATATGAAATTATATCTATATAGATATATTTATATAAATAAAAGAATTTATACATTAAAAACTGTTTTATTTTAAATTCCATACATAATTAACTAAGAATTAATATTATAACGCATTATTATCACATAAATCAGTCCTAAGATGACTTTTAATACTTGATTATGAAACACGACGTATTGGGCTACAGTATTTACAAACTTAATAAGAAAAATCATATGTCAAAGTTGGACACTTGGAGTTGTTGTAGAATGTTGCGAGCTGAAAGGAAAATAACAAAAAATTATAATAAAAAACAAAAAATTATAATAAACAAACAGTCGTTTTGGTAAGAACCACAGAAAAAGCTTGATGCTGTAAGCTTGTTTAAGGCAATTTATTATAACGCATTTCAAAGGAAAAGAAAAATACGTTTTCCGCGTATAATATATATATGAAGCGTTCCGTAATTACTAGACTTCTATAGTATTGTAGATACTACTATAGTTTAAGATTGTATGTCATAGACGTCTTTGCAGTACGGAATATATGAACTAATAATATGTGAAATTAAATAGTTGGGAGTTAAAGCGACAAGATTGATTCTAACTTTACGACATACAAACCCTCGAACCTTAATAATTCGTTGACGCACTTACACATAAACGTCTTTTTCTAATAACAATCTTGCTTCGATGCTGTATTAAAAAGTACTTGCTGAAGGGAAAAAACTTAAAGCATGTCGCCTGACGGATGGCTAATTATAAATATATAGAATTTGTTTTTTATATAATATTTCAATATATTATGTTAAGGTTCAGATTTCAATTGGTAAATACAGCATTTTTATTACAAACAAGTTTAACATTACATTACCATATGTATGTCAGAAAAAATAACAACAGAGACATTATTCATGCCTTCAAACCAGTTTCTTGATACCTTTATACATCTTTTTAGTCTCAATCGCCAGAGAATTCTTTGAATTAAAAAATAACCTTTTTCTTAATAATTCCGCAACAGATTTCTATTATATATATTAGTTAGGGAATACAAAAAATACATAATTCACTAATCCTTCTATCATTAAAATATGATCCTTCTACATTTACTCTTTCATTTGATCAAGTATTATGCGCAAGTGAATAAATTAATGCAGCCAGACGTCTTAAAAACGTCGACCTTTTATTAATGAGGCAATACATTATTTATAAAATTTGATACATTTTATAACCGCAGATTCATAAATGCAGTTACAATAAAAGTTTCTTTAGAATCAGAATATAGGGGCTGAAATATGGCAAACTTTTATGCATTTTAAATGTGCTAAACGATAATTAAAATAGGCACAGAACTCTCATACTAAATTCTACGAAGTAATTTTCTTTTATATTTTCATCGTATAAGACCATCAGATTAAAGGTGATTAGCGAGGATCTTTAAATCCTCCTTTAAACCTCCAAAACCTGGTAATGGGCGCGGATAGGTCGAAATAAAAATAGAGGTTTGAGCGAAAATAGATGTAACATTCTAAATATCATGATAGTTGTTATAGTAAACTCGAATCTTATTATATTAAGCCAAATTTCAAGATAGGAAGTCTAGTGACGTCAAAATACCTTGAAAGTATCCAGTGTCGTGGATATCACCTGGCGTAGGTATGAAAGGAGGTTCTACGTTAAGCTGATTGTCCCAGTCCAAGTCTTTGAATAATGGCATCTTTTTGACCTCTGCGGCGGCAGGACGTTCCTTCGGCTCCATTGTGAGCAGGGCCTCGATTGCACTCACTGCTTCACTAGATAATGCCTCATCGTCTTCAGGCCATTCTATGTCTGTGAGGGGAGAAAATAATCCGAATTCATATATATATGTTTAGCATAACGTAGTGATTTAAGTTGTATTTCGCGCGCTTAACGGTAATTCGCCGCAGCGTTGAAAAACTTTAAATAGGTATATAACTTTTATTCATAAAGTTCATTAAAACTTTTATTTTCGGAAAAAATATATATCAGAAGTCTAATCTAATCTGAATATTATAAAGATTGTTCGTGTTATTTTCGAAGTGCTGTTTTTAATTCTTTAAACAACAAATAAGTCCATAAATTGAAAATTACCTAAGGACTGATCCGGCTGCAGGATTAGTGCGCTCATCTGTTATTTGCTAAAAACCAAATTTTTATGTATATTTATAGTTAGTAGAATGTATATCTACCAAGGTGCCTATCAAAATTTGGCCGCAAGTATTTTTAATGAAATTATTTTGCATTTATTTTTGGGAAAACTTTTCGTTCAAATGTTATTTAAATAAAATATCGTCTAAATCACGGCAATTTACATAAGGATTTTAAAAAATCACGGGTGCCGTTTCCCACCTATGTAAAATTCTCCTAATTATAAATATGTATACATAAAATTTTGTTTTTTAGCAAATAACAGATGAGCGCACTTAATCCTGCAGCCGGATCTCGTACTTTTAATTTAATAACTAAATTCTAATAAAAATCGTTGAAGTATTTTTGAAGTTAGAGCAGATTTATTACATTAAATGTTTAAATATAAATTAACTATCTACCTAAAAATAAACGGAAATGTTTTTTTTTCATAATTTAACTTACTTTTGGATAAAATATTGTTGAAGACAGCTTGTGGTGTCTCATCATTGAAGGGCGGAATGCCCGTCATGAACTCGTACAAGCATACTCCTAGTGCCCACCAATCTACTTGTGGCCCATGTCCCTGCCTAAGTATCTTATTTTATTAACAAAAACATTTCACTTTACATAATAAATTATGTATATCTAATATAATTACGAAACCCTCGTAAACAATGGGGGAATAATAGTAAATGGAAAAAACAAAATTTGTCACAACAACAACACACAAATGTAATACACTTTTATACATGAAATCTTAGCATCAAATAGTATGGAAAGTTGATACTTAAGAGTCAAAAATTAAACATATCGTATTAACGTATACGAATACTAAGCTAAGCCCAGGTACCTGAGTAATAATTCGGGTGCGAGATAGTCCGGCGTACCCAATATTCTCTGATCGGAAACTTGATTCCCGCGTCTCACGCTTTTTGGTGTTCTGTAAGGCGTTTGGGCGGCTATGGGCGTTTTACACAGGTCTGTGGGTGATTTGCTGCCTTCACCCTTCAAAAATCAGTAACAGCTATTAAATAATTAATTAATAGCAAGCTCTTTTAATTTTATTAAAAAACAATATATAATCTCGTGGCTCTACCCCATATGGGTCTTGGCCTCGGATTGTATCAGTTTCTTTGATTATTCTTATTTCATAGATCTAATTGAAAGAGGCGAGACAGGGTGGCCCACTTTCCCCAAAATTATTTATAGCAGTCCTCAAAGATGTATTCCATGGTATAGAATGAGCCAAGAATCTTATCCAATAGTCTGTGCCAGCCAATCAGAGTAGACAGTAAACCTATAGAATATGCTAACAACTATGTATATTTAGGAAAACAAGTATCTTTCAACAAGAACAGCAGTGAAAACGAAGTAGATAGAAAAATAAATGCTACGTTGAAGAAGTACTGGACCCACAAGGAAATTCTGAAAGGAAACTACAGTCTACAACACAAGAAGATAATAATGGATCACAATATTCTACCTTGTCTGAAATACGCAGTCAAACGTAAGTTTTCAGCAAGAAATCAAAAAGAAAAATCCTGTGTTGCCAGCATGCAATGGAAAAAACTATCTTAAAGTTGAGGAGAATAAACAAAACAAGAAATGTTGACATTCGTAAAAAAACCAAACTCACAGATGCACTTGTACACGCTCTAATGCTTTAATGGAAATGGGCAGGTCATATTGCTAGAGCGCGGTATAAAAGATGGACACTAGAAATAAAAAAATGGACTGTTTAATCTGATATGTATTTTGTTTTTAGGAAGTATAATACTACGACTTCCGGGCTCTATAAATTTGAAGCTTAGCTTAGCTTTAACACTATATAATATTTACCTTACTTAACCTCCTAGTTGGAAATATTTCTAAGCTGGTGGAAATATGTTTTCCAAATGTCATGGACTGGTCCTTAGTTTCCGATGATGTATCTTCGGTGGGTAAATTAAATCTCGTAGCCTTTTCTTTTTTCTCCTTGTTCTTACTGTTTGAGACTGGAGTCGAGAATATCACTCCCACGTTGAAATGGTGACTATCATTTTGCGAAACCCATCTATTGATGAAAAAAGTATGACATACACAGGTTTTAAAACTTACAATGAGGTTGATACCATGTCAGTTTTTGACGGTTCGAACTCAATCGAATGTCAGACATTCGTTTAGAACAATACCTCGCTGAAGGATAATGCTCGCGTTTAGTTCCAAATACGCCCACGGATCGCTAAAAAAATTTTTCATACAAAAAAAATGGTTAGTATCACGTTTTCTTCTATAAATTTATACAAAATAGTAGCAGCCATGTTTATATTAAATGTAAGCGACACTGACATAGGCAGTTGTCTTAATTTAATTTCCGATGGCCTAATTTACAATGTATAAAATGGATTATAAAAGAAATAATTACAATGGATAGTAGTAATTACTAGCTTGTAAACATTAACTGTGGAATAATAAAAAAGCGAATATGCGAAACAAAATTGTTTTGGGTATTATCGAGTGGCTATACAACCCTAGGCGTAATTTTCATTTAGGTATACACAAGTATGGGATCAAACTTCTGCACTTTATTTAGGTATGTCGCCGATTTTGACCTTCAGATTGAGAGACGCGACTTAGCTGTGTGACTCCCGCATGTCCTACGGACTCCTACAGACTTACGAGTTTTACTTTAAATAACACCGGTTTTCTCACGACTTATCCATATCCACGCACAGCCTGTTTTTACTCTATCGGATAATAAATTGTATTATATAAGTGATATAAAATACCTCTTCTTTAAAACACCCTTAATGGGATTCTTCCTTCGTTCCGGTGTGGGGTGTATCGATATCCTCTTGGGCGTGTTCTGTGTGACGTCCAGTTCCAGCGCCATGATCTCCTGAGTCAGCCCACTGTGGTTTTGTTTTGACTCCAAAAGGCTGGTCACTCCAGTTGGTGTGTCACCATCACAATCCAAAATCCGCTTTCTTTTTTTTAGCCCGGAAACTAGCCCCATGATTTATTCAATTTTAAGGTACACATTCTTACACTTATATTATTAGATAATATATTTTTAAGTATGTATGTAATAATATGCTGTTAACCATAATTTTTTTGACCAGGTAATGAACGCATTGAAATAGTCTATCATAAATTTTATTAGGTAATATAAAATAACTCCAAAGTGAACAAACATTTAATTTATACTATACATTTGTGCTGCTAATTATGCTCAAAGACTCAATTATTATATCATTTTTATCCTTATCATTTTTGTGTTTCTAATTGAGGTTTAGTGTTTTTTTTTTTTTTTTAATAAAAGTCTAAGAATGTCCAAATAATAATAAATACTGACAGATCTCTTATAAAGTATGATATAAAGCTGTTATTTTATTTACAAATTCACAGTATAAAAACGATGTACAAAATAAAGTTAGCGCAGCCGGCTCATCGTCAATAAGTGATCTAGGCAATACTAATAATACAAAACATAAATATAATATTAATCATGAGGAAGTACAAAAGTACGAAATACAAGATAATAAAAATTTTAAAATAATACAACAAATTATATTGTCTTTAATTTTTAACATACCTAGGAATCCTTTTCAAAGAGTGGCCCCTGCATAGAGGTGAAGTTGACTGGTCATGTTGTGAATCAGTGAGCGCTGACTCCAAAGACGAACCATTAGCACTACTGATGTCTGTTGACTTATTACTTTTATTTGAACTGCTTTTCGAACTTTCACACGTATGGTATGAACTTAGTGATTCCGAGCCGGAGTCTTTTGACTACAATATTAAAACCTTATTATGTTAGAGACATACACTTAAAAAATATACATATTATCTTAAACAAGTCCACTGTTTATTTGTTATGCCTCATTTTTTTTTCATATTTGATTACTGCCAAACTATAATGAGGTTTGAGGTACGGTAACAGTTTTGTAAACCTAACAAAAAAGGTAATTTAGGACTGATCCAATCTCAAATCCCACGATTGTTAAAGAGGTTAGTAAGTAAGTAATATTTGTATGTTACTCATACAGATTTACTTACGTAAGAAAACTAGAGATGGTCCTGGCAAAAAATTATTTCAACAGCTCTAAGTTTAAAGTACGTTATTATAGAATCGTTAAAATGTTCGTAATTTAAAAAAAACAATTATACATACAGTAATATGTTCCAAGTTGATACTCTCGGCACTCATAAATGGATGAATTCCAGAAAGTTGAGAGTGGTCTATAGATGGGCTGTCTACAGTGCTTACATCATCATAAAATATACTCTTCTTCTTGGCTGAAAAACCAACTTCTAATAACGAAAGAGTACTGAACATTAATGAACCTGCATATTAACACTCAACTTTATACAATCAGGTCTTTTTTACTCTACAATTATAATTAATTTTTATTTATTAAATTTAAATATTTTGCTAAGTTTGGGTTTATTATGATACCACAATTCATTATATATGCCCCATTAAAAGTTTAATAGAATCAAATCATTTGAATTAATATTATAAATATGATCTAAAGTAGTATGACTTTTATGATTGTATATTGTTGAACTAACAAAGATATATATCATACTAGATTCTTTAAGTGCATGAAGAAGGTTCTCACAAGTTTCTGTAGATAAGGAATCTTTGGTACAGTCCCCTCCAGAACCAAATGAAAGATGTGATGTCAGAGACAATAATTGACCAGGAGTACGTAAATTCAGACTTGGTGTTCGATTCACAAAGTCAGATATTTCTAAATCTGAAAATATATAGTAAATATTGGTTATATTTTTCAATAAAAAGATATGGTAATAGTAAGAATATATTTATAAAATGTTTAACCTCTATCTTTTATACTCAAATATTAAAATTTGGAGAACCAAATAATGTTAATTTAATTATTAAGATATGAGACATGTGTGAAATGCTCAAAAAAAATTACTTAGAAAACACAATAGTTTTTATTAGGCCCAGTATAAATGTTTATTGATAATTTAAAGACTACCTTTACCTCTATGTATTTCAATCTTCGATAATCCAAAATCAGTTAACTTAACATGTCCACTTTTAGCAATCAACATATTATCTGGTTTAAGGTCTCTATGAACAATATTATGCTTATGCAAATAGTCCAAGGCTAAAGTTACCTCTGCGACATAAAATATTGCCATTGACTCTTCTAGGAAACCATAAACATTTAACAAAGACTTCAGATCTCCACCAACCATATATTCCATGACCTGTAATGATTTAGTAAAATAATTACTTATATTTACATTCAATTTAAATGTTCAAATTATTTTAACACATACACTGTATTATTATGAAGCTTCAAATAAAAATACTAATTTGTAAAAATACAAATGTTTATATGTATATACTTTTCAGTTACAGTAACATTTGAGGATTTTAACTTTATATAACACACCCAATTCAAACAATTTTATTCTTACCAAATAAACTGATGAAGCTGACTGTAATGAATAAAACAAGTGAACACAAAATGGACTTCTTGATAAGGCAAGAGCATTTCTTTCCGTAACCACCTGGGTTACCATATTTTTATTGATCATTTCTGACTTTTTCATAACTTTTATAGCATACAACTGTTCTGGATTATACTTTTTCTGGGCAAGAAATACTTTTCCAAAAGCCCCACGGCTTATCGGTTTTATTATAGTGAAATCGGTTATCTCTGGAAGCTGTAACAAACAACATTACTAAAGTTAATTAAGGAAGTCACCAATTCACCTAACTACAGTGTTAGACTGACCTTATTGGTAGGTTCTGCATTGTTTTCGTTTATTTTTTCCAAAATCGTATGGCAAGATCCATTAGGCTCTTCGATTTCATTGGCCGTCATTATGGTCTTAGTAGATATTGTACTTTTTAAGCAAAATAATTCACATAACATTTAGTAATACCAAATAGTGGTATTACATTTACATATTTTTCTTAATAGCAATATAATTTTCTAATAAAGATAAAATTCAACATGTTCTTTATTTATCATTTACTAATTAAACTATTTCAGATGTATTTAAACAGTTTCTATATTCTACATCAAAAACGCTACACACGGTTACAATAAAATTTTTAATGCGTATACCTAGTACCTACACATTTCACAGTTATGAGTTAACCATTTTAAAATTTAAATTTTAAAAATGTCACCGTGCAGCCTAATGTTTGACAATTGTCCTCAAATTATTTTATTGTCTCACGCCACAAAGTCGAGAGAACCACATATATTGCTAATGTCATTTAAGAGGAAGGTAATGTACATTTTAAGATTACGTGAGTTATTTATATAATAAAAAGCTTAATAGAGCAAATTTTCTAAGGCAAAAGTGTTCTTTAGTGGCAACCTTGACTCGCTATTCGCTAAAGCAAATTGAAATTTTCTTGGGTGCTACGTGAGTTTTAAAAAATTACACAAGACTAAGTTTGACTCCCGTACGTCAAAAATGGATGAATGGACATTGACATGCGGAAGTGTTAGTCGCGCTTATTTTTGTTCCTGAATCTCACCCTAACTGTCGTGACCCGTAAAAGGGCATATATGTAATGTAAAATTCAGAGGAATTAAAAGAATGAAAAATAACTGCTTTGACTTTTAAAAAAACTTTTGTGATTTTATCACATTTTATTACAGTAACACTAAAATTCAGTTTTCACTGGGGTTTTTAGGATCACTACAATAATAATGTAGTTGTATTGTTTTTTACTATACAATGTAAAATATTAACAATATAATTTAAAAAATAAGTGATGCAAATTATTGTTCCTCCATTTGACACGCTGTAACACAACTTGTAAACGCTTGTACAGTTGCTGCACAAAGTAAAGGTTGATGAGGGTTGTCTTCATAGCATTTTAGCATCTGAAATTTAGAAGAGAGACTAATGTGCGTTAACATTGATTATAGTAGGGGAGCCCACGAGGCTAAATGGGGATTTACTCGAGCGTCGTAGAGACCTATTGGGATGCAAAGCTTAGATGATAAGAAGAAAAAAATGTTATATGATATATACCTTTACATAGGTGGGGGAAGCGGCTATAGATTTTTAAATATGTAAAAAAAACTGCTGCATGGACATCCTCGAGCGCGTCCGATATTGATAGAATCAATGCCCTACGTATTTTTAATAATGTGTGTTAATCTGATCGTTTGCATGATGCGGGTGGTTGTATTTAAGGGTTGAAAATGAAAAAAAAAATTTAATCGAGCGCGTCAGATTTTCTAAGGGAGTGTTAAGTGTACCAAAAAAAAGCTCTCATTCACTAATCTGACGATTTCGATGGGACGCAAACCCGCGGCCATTTTCATAATGTGCAAAAAAAATTTTGAAAATTTCGCCATTTTGAAATACTCAAGCGTATCAGATTAAGATATATATGGTTCATCTTTATGTCCTAAACGTACTGTCACATAATCTGACGATTATCTAGAGGGATTAGCCTGATCTGACAAAAATATTTTTAGAAAAACGGTTCACCTTAAGGGCCGGGCCATCCCTGCAACTTCCCGCTAATTCCATTCCTAGGCGCTTAAAATTGTACTTATGACATTTTTGAGCTCAAAATATAATTAATGTGATATTTTGAGCTCGCTGAGTTCAAAGAAATAATATTTCTATGCATTTGAGCTCTCCCAGCTCGAAAGTCTGATAGAAGTTTCATAGAACACTATTTATGGAATTTTCAAACCGCAATAACTTTTGAATGGATCAAGCAATTTTCACGCGGTTGACGGCATTAGACGCAGTTTTATCATTCTCATAAGTAAATTTTTAATTGATCGAGCCACAAATTTCGGAGTAATCCTGAAAAAAACACTTTTTCGGGTTTCTTTCGTTCACGATATCTCTCGAACGAATCAACCGCTTTTGACCAGCTTGGAGGCGATCGACGTGGTTTTTCAAGCTAAAAGGCAGATTAGTTTTTGAAGTTGATCGATAAAACCGGTTAAAAGTTATTAAAAAAAAAAACACTTTCAAAAAAAATTTTTCTTATTTTTATTGAGATTTTTCAAAATTTCTCAAAATCTATCGGTTCGAATCGGTTCAAATTCACAGGAAATATTTAGAACGCCGTTT